CCCATCCCCAGCAGAACCAGAAACCAGGCAGGTCAAAGTGGGGCCTATCAGAGGGGGCTGGGCTCCTCCTTGCCCAGGCTACACATTCAGGGGACAAAGGACCTAAATCCAGAATTCTGATGTTTTCTCCAGGTGAGGTCACCCAGGAGCAGTTACACCTGACAGGATTGATGGAAGAAATGTTGGTCACAGAGCTTCAAACATGGGCCTGGTTACCAGACCTCATAGCTGGAAATGCTGGGAACTAATTGTTTTTATAAATGTTGTAATCATCTGATGCATAGTACAATTACATTGCATTGCAACTTTCAGTGCTAAAAGCATTAATTTGTTGAATGTAAACATACACTTTATACAATAATTTTTTTAACTCTGTTTGAAATGTTTTCACTTTCTCGTATACAGGGAACCTCAAGAAACATAGGGACAGTTTCTCTTGACCTCTGAGGCCTTGCCCCGTTATGTAGATGGGGAAAATGAGGCCTAATGATACAGGAGCAGAGTCTTTATCAAAATCAAGGTGGTTGTCAAGGTGGTCAAGCTTTATTACAACTCAGAGCTCTGAGGAACTACTCCTGAACAGTTCCCACAACCCCTGGACAGCCAAGGACTTCTAGTTAAAATATAAATTAAATCTTGTAACTCCCTGACTTCCAACTTTCTAACAGCTTCCTAATGTACTTATAATACAATCCAAACTCATCACCACATCCAGCAAGATCCTGCTGGGTCCTGTCTCATCTTCACCTGAAGCTCCAGCCACACTGGGCTCCTTTGTGGCCTCAGGCACTGCAGTCTCCTTCCTACCGCAGGGCCTTTGCACTGGCTGTGCCCTCTGCCTGGGAGAGTCTTCTCATGGCAGCCTTCTTCACCTCAGGCAGATCCCAGCAAAATGTCACCTCCTCAGACAGCTTCCTCAGCTGCCTTTTCTGAGTATCCCTCCTGCCCCATCACTTCCCCATTTTCCTGGTTTATTTTCTTTACAACACTCATCACTACCTGAAATCACCCAGCTTATTTGTGCGTTTAATGTTCTTTTCAGTTCCCCTCCCTAGAAAACAGGTGCAATGAGATCAAGACCTTGTCTGTCCGTATCTGCCATGTTCCCAGGGCCTAAAGCCACTAAGCAGCTTGTTCAAGTTCCCAGAGCCAAGAAATGGCAGAGCTAGGATCTCAGCCCATGTTCATAATTACTGTACTGTATTGCATTCTCATAACTGATACATACAACCATCCGGCTCAGCAGAGTCCCATGACAGTGAGATGTCTGAGAGAAGCGAGTCTTTACCCTCCTGCCTGAGTCCGTGGAAGGGTTGCTCCCAATGCCCATTAGGATGGGTGCTTCTCCCTCCCTCCCTGGGGGCAGGCCTCCAGGGTGTTGGGGTTAAGGAGGCTGGCCCTGCATAGAGCTTAGCAGGTGGGGGATGGGTGGAGACTCTGGGGCGAGATCCCTGGGCCGGTGCCAGTAGGGCAGGGTCGGGCAGAGCACAGCCCAGGGAAGAGAGGTCAGGCAGACAGGCAGCGGGATTCTGACTGGAAGTACAGGAACCAAAGAAGAAAACAGACCTCCAAGTCTTAGAACGGGAAATGCCCCCTCCTTCCACAGGGCCTCAACAGGCCTCCAGATCCTGGGAGGTGGGCGAAATAATCCCACGGACCAAGAGCACCAGGCAGGGGTGGGGAGGGAATGAGGACGACCGGAAAGACGTGTCTTACTGCTTCCTCACAGGCTCCCTTGCTTGGCCCTGAAGCTCAGGGGCAGCCCCAATGAGCTCACACCATGCTTCCCACCTGCTGTCCTGGCACTGGTCACCAGGGAGCCAAGGAAGAGACCGTCGGCACTCAGGTGGACAGCGGGGCCTTTGAGGATGCTGTACCTGAGAGCCAGTCACGTACGGCTGCACCAGCCACATTTGTGCACCCAGCCTGCCCTAAAATGTTGATGAATTCTTCCTGGTGAGACTGTGGCTAGGGAAGCGTCCAGAGCCCCTGGCAGGGAGTTAGTGCTGAGCGCGGACTGGCTATGGTCACTGCCAGCGGGATTTTTTAAATTCAGCAGCTTGGGTCTCACCTACTGAATCCCCCACCCTCAGGGGAGGAACTGGGGCAGCTGCATTTTTCAAAAGGCTCCCAAGGGGATTAGGCAGGGATTGGGACAGGAAATTTTTTTTTACCTCTCATTTCATGTCTTTATGGCTTCTTGGAATTTATACTATGATCATTTTATACAAAAGACTAGTTTAAAAATACACACAAAACCTGTGTCCTGGGTTTGGGAACCACTCGATAGAAAAGGCTGGCCCTGTGGGGAAGGAAGAGGGGTGGTCAGATGCCCTGGGTGGGCACGACCCCTGCTGGGAGCTGCCAAAGTCACCAGGGTGTGCTCTCAGGAGAAGCTTAGAGTGTGTTGCCAAATATTCAACATCAAACCGCTCCCACCCCGGGCCCCGTGAGTGGCAAACAAAGAAACCTGCTAAAAGAAGCTCTGCCCCTCCTCTCCCACTGGGGAGAAAAGCGTTGGCAGTTGGCAGACTTCTTTGGAAGGTTCCCCTGAGAGCATCCCCACTCCCACCCTCACACTCACCAAGGCCTGGGCATCTTCCTCCCAAGAGGTCAAAGGCTCCACAAATTGCCAGAGACTGGGCTGGGCGGTTACTGCACAGCCCAGAGTCTACACTGCCCCAGTAATGCTTAGTCACCAGCCGGCAAATAGGCATTGCCCCTTTCATTCTGCCCATACACATCTGTCTCTTTCTGTCCTATGTGTGTATGTGTGTGTGTGTGTGGATGTGGCTCTGAGAGTGCCAGCTTCCAAGGAGGACCTTGGTTCCTGATCGTCATTCATTTTGAGGCAACACAGCCTGTCACCCCAAGACATCCTGTGCCACCCCACAGGGCTGTGGCTCTCGTCCTGCCCCTACCGTATCTCAGGGATGGGGACATCTCTCCATTCCTCACTAGAAACATAAAGCAGAGAGGGCATTAGATCACCACTAGTCACCCAGCAATGGCAAGGCGAGTCCCAGCATCTGGCCATGAGGCAGCACTCCTGTTAGCCTGCCTGCCCGCCCTGACTCCCTGTCCCGGCTCCAGCTCTGGCCCTTCCACACCACCGTTCATGCTGACTGTGTGCCACTGCGGGCCCTGCTCATCAGAGAACCACTCTTACCCCCACCCCAGCCTCCTCTCCCTGCAGGACGCTATCCTCCCTGCTGGGGAGTTCAGTAACTGGGAGAAAGTATTGGGCTCCCAGCAACTCTGAGCCAGAGAGATGAAAGGCAGCAGCACACAGTCTGACACGGAGCCTTCTGGGAGGCCCGTGGGAGACAATGTGAACATCCTGTACCAGCCACCGTGAAACCCACACCTGCTGGGCGCCGGCCCAGACACAGCTGCCACTATGCCAGGCAAACACCTGGACGCTGCACCAGCTCCTCACACGATGTCTTCCACACTGCACAGTTCGCACCAGTACCTGCCTTACCCAACAGAATTCCCATCACCCCTAGGGGTCCCCAAGGCAGCTCAGACCCACCGTTGAGAGTGGGGAATAATAGATATTTGAAGGTAATCGTCTCTAACATGCTGACCATGGTCACCACCATTATCAGCCTAACCACATCACATGCTAAGGGCAAGAAGAAAAGCTTCTGAGCATGTGTCCCAAGTTTTAATGTCAACACGAATCACTGGTGTCTTGTTAAAAATGCAGATTCTGATTCATTACATCTGGAATCATGAATTTGCATTTCTAACAACCTCCTGGTGATGCCGATATTGCTGGTCTAGGACCACTTCCAAATTAGAATCACCTGGGAATCATTTCCAACACTCAAGTCACAGCCCAGACTAATTAAATCACAACACTTGGGGGTGGGATCCAGGCATCAGGGGTGTTTGAAGTGTTCCAGGGATTCCAGGCTTGGGAACTACTGTCCTAGGGAGTATTTAGGGACCAGAAGGTGGACTGGTGTGGCTGAAGCAGGGTACACATGGTGGTCACTGGACACTGGTTCAGCCCTGGATGTGTCAGGTGCTGTCCTAGGTGCTGGGCATTTATAGGGAGTGAGACCCATCCCTACCTTCTTGGTGCTTATGGTCAAGAGGGAAGATGGATATTAAACAAGGACCCAAGCCAGTAAGTGGGTTAAATCTAGGTTGGGAGAAAGCCACAAAGAAAGTAAACAGTAATGAGAGAGAAAAAATGGGGAAGATCCCCTCAGATTTGGAGGTCAGGGAAACATCTCAAAGGATGTGGCATTGAGCTGAGACTCAAAGGTTGAGAAAAAGCCAGCCTTGTAAGGAGCCAGGTAAGGGCATCCAGGCAGAAAGAACGCTAGGGGCAGAGGTCTGGCAGTGAGAACGGAGGCGAGTGGCAGAAGAACAAGGAAAGGAGGGCCCACCTGGCACCTTAACCTTCATCTGGCTGGGTAGGTGGAGGGCAGGGAGCCTGGCCTGTCAAAGAGGCTGTGGCCTCCAGCCTAGACCCCTAAGGAAGGAATATGGAGGGGTCTGTTCTCATAACACCCATAGGATGAAAAGCCCCACCTCTGACAGCAGCATATCCCAGGGGGCAGACCCACGTCCTGGTTCCAACCCAAGCGTTAGAGGGAGGGGTGAAGGGAGGAGATCCCCGGAGGGCGGGTCAGGCATGGATCAGCCACCTACCTCTGGCAGAGAGCTTCTTAGTGTTGATAATCTTGGCAGCATATTCCTGGCCGGCCAGCACCTTCACACACCTGCGCACCACCGAGAAGGCTCCCCTAGGGCAGAGGAGGCAAAGACGGTGAGGGAGGGCTCAAGGGCTGCATCCTCAGGAGACACCGGAGTTCGTGCAGCAGCACTGTGCTGGGAGGGATCCCCCCTCCAGGGCTGCTCGAGCTCACAGCGGCTGCCGTAATCCGACTCGGGGACCCAGAAGAACCACTAGTAGTAAATCATTAGGAGCTTGGCCTCATGAGAGATGAGCCTTCTAGAGTCATAAGTTAGGTTCACCAAGTTCTAAAATATTAGCATCATACAGTGTTAGAATCACAGAATCTAGGTCCCTGGAAGCTTTCAGTTTTTTATTCTTTGAGTATGTAACACACGACATGGTTCAAAGTTCAAAAGACACAAAGATGGAGATAGTTAAAAGACTCCTTCCCATCCCTGTACCCTAGTCTCCAAAGTCCCTTCCCCAGAGTTGGCCAGTGCGGCCAGAGCAGCTTTCCACAGGTGCTCTCCCCCTCGCAAACGGTCCTGGCCTTTGCGTGCTGTTCTGTACCCTCCTTTTATTCAGAAATTTGTTTAGAGATCCTCCTTCCATATTATAACATAGAGCTCCCCATTATTTAATTGTACGGCTGTCCTGTAATTTACCTAGCCCGTCCCCTATTGATGGGCAATTAGGTTAGTTCCAATTCATAGCTATTACAAACAGTGCTGCAATGACTAACCTTATATGTGTGCATTAGAATTACATTTCCCCTGCGTGCAGGTGTCTGTGGATAAACTTCCAGAGTTGGTATTATTGGTCAAAGGGTAGGTGTTATTTGGTAATATTGACAGATAATGAGAGACTATCCATCTTAGAGATGAACCTACCAGTATATGAGGGGATCATTTCCTCTGCCCTTAGCACAATGTGTTATCAAACGTTCATATCTTTGCTAGTGAGACAGGTGGAACATGGCGACTCGGTGTGGATTTGATTTGGAATTCTCACATTCAGAGTGAAGCTGAGCATCTTTTCATATGGTTTAAGACACTCCTGAGATTTCACCATAAAAGTATTTGTGGCTGGAAGAACTTGGAGCAAGGGCTGTGAATTTCACTGCTCCCAGGAGACATTGTTGCCGTGTGGAATGTGGCCCATTACCCAGATTGCTTGATTTTTTTCAAGAAGAGCCGGAAGTCTGGATATTTATGTGACATTTCCCAATTTTTAAGTACTAGCACTTCATTCCAAAAAAAATTTAACATAATATCTTGCCAAACAAAACTAGTTTGAGGGCTAGATCTGGCATTTAGGTGCCATATTGTCCCAAAGCTCATCGGGTCCAACCCCTGAATATCACAGAGGAGGCCCCTAAGGGGCCCGACACTAACTGTGGTCGCCACCATTACCGCCCTAAGCACAGGCGAATGGCAAGAAGCAAGTCTCCTGGACAGTCTTCTCCAATTTTAATGTGCGTATGAATCACCCAGCATCTTGTTAAAATGTGATTCTGATTCCTTAAGTTTGAAGTGGAGCCTAAGACTTTGAGCTCAGCATAGCTCAGAGTAGACTGCTCAAGGTCACACAGCAGGTAACAGGCTGTGCTGCGTCTGGAACTCAGATATCCATACTCCCAGGTTTTTGGCTTCTCCGCCACCCAGTGTGCCTGCCACTTCCTGGCCTGCAGGTTCAGCTTCCTGACACAGCCGCATCCCACCATATCCTCCAAACTTTGGTCCCCTCTCCTAAGCACACTAGCAGCTCCAAGCCACAAAGATGAGGCTGATGGGAGCAGGCGCAGACACTGGCAGGCGTTGAGGAGCCTGCAGGCTGGCAGAGATGCCCGCTGCACACATAGCCCTGGGCATAATGTCGCTGGCTTCATGTCTGGGTGGCATCAAGGGAGCGGGTGGGAAGTTGCGGAGCAGGATGCGGAAGAAAGATCTGGGAGAGGGGCTAGAGACCAGGAAATATGCCCTCATAGGAAATCCGGAGAAGGCCAGAATTCACAGGCATGGCAACAGACCGTCCTGGGTGGGCAGCCCTGTCTGCTGTTCACCTGGAGGAGAGCAGCAGACCCGGGTCTCCTTCGCTGAGTTGTCTCGCCATGACAGGGCCCCTTGTTTGTGCTCCTAGAGCCCCCCACTGCTCCCCATCTAGCACGGGACTGTGGTTGCTCATCCAGCTTGTCTGTCCACCCAACAGAGGGTTCCTGAGGGCCAGGACTTGAACTTTCCTCTTCACACCCCATGCACAGGTACCCCATCTTTGCTACCAACAGGGCCTCCATAAATGTTACTGTAGGAACAGGAGGGAGATTTCGCTGAGAGGGATGGAAATGGGACAGGGAAGAGGACTTCAGTCAGGGGTGTTAGGAACAAGAACAGGCATCTGAGTAAGGTGGGCACACTCGTCTTTCAAAGGTGGCCCCCCAACCCAGACAGGGACGTCCAGGTCCCTGTCCAGTGGGAGTCCCAGGGAAGTCCCAGGGAAGAGAATGTTTCAAGTGGCCACTTCTGGGAAAGATTCTGAGAACTTCAGGGAGAGGAGGGGCAGGGAAGGAAGGAGGTGGTAAGTTTCTGAGTGCAGGGGCTGGTCTCAGCTCGCTCCCTGGCGTCCACCTCATGCTTGGGTCAGAGCTGGACTTTAATTAACATGATATTGATGATAGAGAGATGGAGGGAGAGAGGGAGGATGGGAAGGAGGGAGAGAGAAAATTTCTCCTTGAGAGAAACAAAACTCCAACCTAGGTAAAGACCTGAGACCAATGGTTGTCGAGCTGGCTGTTTCAGAATCTCTTGGGGATCTTTTAAAAGTACATATTCCAAGGCCACACCCCGCCCACCAAATCAGAGTCTCTGAGTGTGGGCCCAGGAATCTGTATTTTCAGTTAACAGGCTGCCCGAGTGATTGTTTCGCAGCCAGCTCGGCACTGTCCTGTCTGCCTTCTGGGGAAGCCCTGTTAGGCGCCCGGCCTCCTGGAACTCAGCACCGATGGGCCATCACATGGGGCTCTACGAGGAGGGGCTTGACAAGCCCCATGAACCGGGGCTCTGCCCCAGGAGCTGAGGACCTAGGAGCCATGTCTGTAAAACGAGAAGACACGCTTGCTGAACTTCTTCCTCATAACACAGAGCCAAGCTTTTGTGTAAATCCCAGATTCCAACTAGGGGCCCAGGCCATGGGCAGAGAGGCTGCAGGAACCCTTCACCCCCTGAAGGAGATCCTGTGCCTCTGAGTGGAGGTATGTGCTTTTTGTTTTTTAATTTTTTCTGGGGCAAGGATGCATAGCTTTTAGCAGATGCTCAGAGGGAGGAGTTGATCAAAACTAGTTCAGAGCTGCTGATCCAGAGGACATCAGCCTCTCACATACCCAGAATGTGTCCTCCCTTTAAATGCACTTTCACTGCTAAGCTCCCTGTTCCTTCCAGCAACCCTGCAAAGTGGGGATTATGATTCTCCCATTTAACAGATCAGGAACCTGAAGCATCAAGTGAGCAGGCATTCTCCTCATGAGGCTGTGAAGAGAATCCAGGTCACCTGCCCTTGGTCTTCTGTCTCCACCAAAGGCAAGAGTGCAGCCCTCGAAGGCAGGGGCTCTGGGCTCACAAACGCCTGTGGTCTGATCATGACTCAACTTGGCTCTTCCCCTCTCTGTTTCCTCCTGTAAAATGGGGGCAATAATAGTATCTAGCTCCTGGGTTTGATGGGGAAATTAAGTGAGGTAACACATGCAAAACACTGGGCACGGTGCCAGGCACACAGATCATCGAATGGGGCGAGGAGAGGGCCTGGACCGAGGAGCCCCTCTCTCTACCTACGCTGCCTCAGGTCTCTGTCCACAAGTGGAAAGGCTCCTCCCCACCTGCCACGGTGCTGGGGATCGGGGAGCTGAGGGGCAGAGGAGAATCTGTGGCAAAAATAAGAGTGCGGGCAGTAAGCTTGCAGCCTTAACTTGCTCTCTTTTTAATCTTTTGTATAAAAAAGTCATGTTTCTGCATTCTTGTCCTATGTGAGCGAGTGGCCACAGCCCAGCAGCCTTGGCAAGAGGAAGGGCCAGCCCACTCCTCCCACGGCCCCGAGCTGAGCAGGTGGCCAGCAGGTGGGTGGGCAGGAGCCTGGAAACTGGACAGGGTGGAAGAGGGGAGGAGGCCCAGGTGTGGAGGGCAGGGTGGGCGAGAGTGACCGGAAGGAAGGGATGAGACCTGCACTGAGGGCCCTGAGTGAGTGGGGGGCGTCCGTGAGTGGGTCCTGGGAGCACCTGTGATAGCGTTCCTGGGTGCAAAGAGTTCAGGGGGTGTGTCTGCCCACAGGTGTGTGTTGGCAGCCCAACTGCGCCCTTGTGGATGTGACGCCATGAGGCTCTGGGTGTGTCAAAGTACACGTGCATCACCCTGGGTATGAAGTGTGTACCCGTGTTAGCGAGGGGGTCACAGAATGTGGGCAAGGAGGAGTGTGTGCATGAGACAGACACTGGAGAGCTCAGCCCTGCTGGGAGGTCTGCCCCAATGTGGGCCTCAGTTTCTTCATCGGCAACGTGGAGGTTGGGGTTAGCGTGAAGCTAAACAGTACAGAGGCCTTTCCACCTTCAATATTCCATATCAGGGCTGGCCAACAGAACCCTTTGCGATGATGGAGATAGTCTACGTTGTCCAGTGTGGCAGCCAGTAGCCTCATATGGTTAGAGAGCGTTTGAAATATGGCCAACAGACTTGAGGAAATGAATTTTTAACTTTACTTCATTTAAATCCTTAGAAGCGGCTAGTGACCACCATTTCAGCTGGTGAGGTTCTGTGTGAATCTGAACAGGAGCTCCTGAACCAGACCACCCAGAGTTCAAATCATGGCTCAGACTCTTTCGAACAAGTTGCTTCACCTCAGTAAGCCTGTCTCCTCCTCTGTAAAATGTAGTAAGAAAAATACCCGCTGTGAGCAGCTGTTTCAAGGATTCAGTGAGAGAATATGGTATACGGCGGGTTTAGCTCAGTCTCTGGAATACAGTAAAGGCTCAAGAAACACCACCTTTTATTGAGATCATTGTCTCCAAGATGATGAGAACAGCTG